ATACACAAAGGACTTAAAATCAGCATACAAGAGTGACACAGCCACATTCGTAGTTAAAGAAGAATGAAATTATGGCATTTGCCAGTAAATGGATGGAACTAGAGAATATTATGTTAAGTGAAATAAGTCAAATCCAAAAAACCAAAGGCTGAATGTTTTCTCTGATATTTGGATGCTAATTCATAATAAGGGGAAGCCTAGGGAAGAATAGAGGAACTTTGGATTAGACAAAGGGAAGTGAATGTAGGGGACTGCGTATGGATGTAGGAATGATAGTAGAATGAATTGGACATTATTACTCCATGTGCATATATGATTACATGACTGTTGTAATCCTACATCACATACAAACAGAAAATGAGAAGTGTACTCCATTTATGTATAATGTGTCAAAAAGMATTCTACTATCATATATATCTAATCAGAAAAAATTGAAATTTTTTTTTAGAAAACACATTAAAAAGACTGTATACAATGACTAAGTGGGTTTCATTTCAGGGATGCAAACTTGWTTCAACATGTGCAAATCAATAAATGTAATTTACCATGTAAATACATTTAAGGACAAGAATCACATGATGATGTCAATAGGTGCAGAAAAAGCTTTTGACAGAATCCAGCATCTGTTTATGATAAAAATATTGAAAGAAGTTGGGATAGTAGAAACTTACTGGAACATTACAAAGCCTATTTACCACAAACACAAAGCCAACATTTTACTGAGGGGGGAAAAATAGAAAGCATTTCCTCTAAAATCAGGAACAAGACAATGACTTTCAATTACCACTCCTATACAATATAGTTTTATGGAAGGATGTATGTGACAAACCCAAAGCCAATATCATACTAAACAGAAAAAGTCCTGAAATCATTTCCTCAAAAATCAGGAACAAGGCAAAGATGTCTACTCTCACCATACTATTCAATAATATAATTGAAAACTCTAGCCAGAGCAATCAGACTGGTGAAGGAAATTAAAGGGATAAAACTAGAAAAAGAAGTACTGGAAGGACTTTTCTTAGATTGGGGGAACTTCTAGACAAAACATGTCTCTTCTKGCCCATTTATTTATTTAGTCAACCATTATTTATTATAGACTTGTATATATATATTTTTTTACCTGGAATATAATCCCAATTGTATTCTTTAAATTTATTGCTTTATGTTTCCCAGCTTTGGCTCTAGGAAGCTCTTTGAAATTAATTCCTGAACCCCTTTAAAATGTCTCATTTGTTGTGTTTGGTAAAAGTTCCATTATGCTTTAACATGCAAGACTCTTAAGATTTTTCTTGGATGCTCCCTGCCTGGTCATAAAATCAGCCAGTCTGGCTGTTTTTTCTGTTTATATTTATTTTTGTTTGTTTTCTTTGATTAGGAATGTTATTAGAAACCACTATTGGGATGCTATGTGTGCTTGTTACTACTGGGTGGCATTGCTTCTAGGATATCTCAACAAACAACTAGAAAATATACATGCTAAGCCATGCATACATATATGTCAAATACCATTTCACCATTCATCCATCTTTATCTATATTGACCTTATGACAAATTCACACTGATGTCTCCATCTCTTATTCCATATCATGATTCACTCTAGATTTTTCCTTTACTAATCTGTAATTCCTCATTCCAACACTGAGGAACCTGATGATCTACAACATCTACCATCCTTTTGCTCTTTTTTTTCAACTCCAGATGCATGCACAGAAATTTTGAGATTGTAAATTTACAACCTGCAGGAAAAAAAATGCCAAAGAGTGTGTTATGTTTGTGTACCTTCCTTTTGTATTTAGTCTCAAAGTTTCTAACAACAACAAATACACTGTTTTCAAAAGTTATTTAGACCAGCACTTTCCCCCCAATTGCTTCAATGAGATTAGGCCATACATTTTTTTTTGTAATTTTTATTTGTTCTTGTTAATTATACATGACTGAAGAATCCATTTTGATATATTTATACAAAGCTTGGAATATATCTTATTCAATTAGGAGCCCAGTCTCATGGGTGTACACAAAGATGAGATTCTCTGTGGCATATTCGTATATGTACATAGGAAAGTTATGTCCTATTCATTCTGTTGTCTTTCCTATTCTCATCACTTTTCCTTACCCTTCATTCCTGTCTATCTAATCCACTGAATCTCTATTCTCCACCCTACCTACTTGTTGTGTGTTCACATCTGCATATCAGAGAGAACATTGTTGTTAATGGTGTTAATGGTGTATCTCACTTAGCATGATAATCTCCAGATGCATCCATTTACCAACAAGTGTCATAAATTTATTCTTCTTTATGGCTGAGTAATATCCCATTGTGTACATATACCATAATTTCTGTATTCATTCATCCACTGATGGGCACGTAGGTTGGTTCCATAGCTTAGATATTGTAATTCTGCTGCTATAAACATTGATGTTAGGTCATACATTTTTAATATAGTGTGATTCTTTTCTCAGAGTCTTCATTTCAAATAAGGGTTCCCTATTCTCAGAGTTCATTTTTTAAAAAATTTAAATACATAACATTTACTCTGTGTGCAGTGAAACTAAGGATTCAAAAAATTCTTATTACTATGTTTCTGCCTTTATAGCACCATATAGATTAATTCATCCACCCAGAAAATCTCCAGGGCATCCTCTAGTCAACACTCTCAAAATCCCTGGAAATACTGATTTATTTTCCTTCACTATAGATTTGCTGTTTCCAGAATACTATGTGAATACAATCATATGTTCATTTAGAAAAATTCATTTAAGGTTTATTCATACTGATATGTGAATTAAAACTTTGTTCTTTAATTTCTAAATTTTATTGTATGAATACATATCATTCACTTACCAGAAAAATAATGATTGTTTCCAATTCAGGGGGATTGTGAATAAGTATATTATAAACATTCATTTACAGTTTCTATATGAACATAAATTTTAAAATCAGTTTTGTAAATATTAGGAGCACAAATGTTGATTTACAGAATTAGTCTATGTTTGACTTTGCAAGGAGCTAGCAAGTTGTCTGCTATAGGATTTTATATCCATACCATCAATGAATGAGAGAGCATATTGCTCTGCATCATCACCAGTATTTGATACTGTTGGATCTGGCAGGTGTAGCCATTTCAATAACCATACCATTATACTTTGAATATTTGATTTTTTTCTAATTAGACAAGATCATAGTCAAGGATCTTGCCATCCTTAGTAAAGAGGCTTATATGATAATGTCTGTCATAATTTAAATTTATAGAAAAGGGAATAAAAAATGAAAATACTTGAAGTTCACATATTGCAAATGTAATAAGACTGAATTTGGATAGCTGATTCTTGAACAGGTATTGCTTCTTTATTATTTGGGGTTACTTGGTTCTTACTCAAAGAGAAGCCTTTTTTTTTCTAGCATTTCTACTGATTCAGTGTGTTCCACATACCCTTCCAATGTATTCCTCTTCTTACGTTAAGCAAGTGATTTTCAGCAAGTAAGCCTATCAKGTATTCACTCAATAAAACAAATAAAAAAGATATACTCATGGTTGATATGTAGAGATGGTGAAGTAGTATTAATTGATTTATTTAGAATATTCATAAGGGGTAAGTAAAAMCCATTTTTAAAATCTAGAGCCATATTCAGAATAGTACAAAAACACTTTTGTGTGAAAATAATAGTGATTTTCTTTGATTAAAGAATTTTTCTAATTATAACACATTAGAATTGAAGCCTACTTTTACGAATTCAAGAATACTTCTGTTCTACCATTTATTATTCCTCCCTATTGTGATCCTAATCTATCAAAGGAGTTGTATACTTCCTATAATCACTGGGGTCTTTTGAGAACCTGATTGACTTTATTGAAACATTGTGTTAGTTTGAAAGTAGACAAACATGCATAAGAATTAGTAGGGTTGAAACTAGGAATACAACACCTTTTACAACATCCCTTCATTTGTACATTTTCTCAGCAACATTAGATTTTACACCACAATATAAAAAAGGAAATAATAAAAGTAAACACTTGACATTTTCTTTAGTATATTTATCATTGATTTTTATAATATTTGGAGATAYCAAATACTTCTCAAAAAATAAAGGTCAAATGCTCTCATTAAAGTAGATCATTAATGCAAATATTAGAAAGACAAAAAGATCACATATGATTCAAATATCAAATTCTTCRCAGAAAAATTGTGAACATATATATTTCAACCATTAAGGAAAACTAAATAATTCAAGGCACACTGGTGAAAATGGTTGAAAGCATCTAATTCAATTTGCTTCAATTTGCTCCCTCATAAGAGGACACCTGTACTAAARATTTTCCTTTTGTATTTTTTAAGTACTCAGATTTTAGAAGATTGGATACAAAATGTTTCTAAACCTYTTTGATATGACAATGTGGCAATCCATACTAAAAATAAAAAAAACAATACAATGCAATTAAACATCAATGAAATTAGTTGAGTTACTCTGTTAAAATCATGATGGCACAGAAAATAATGACTCTTTCACAATGACAGTTTTTTAAGGAGAATAGACTGAAAGAAAGTCTATGTGAATATATTTTATAAAAKAATCAGGTTTTGCAACTCATAAAGCATTCTTCTTTGGGATGGTGTTTCTGCAAATCACAGAAGTTTATGTGTGAGTTCAACATTTTACCAAAGCAAATTTTCTCCCATAATGCCAGTAAACCCAGAGGAAAAAATAATGTTAAATCCTCCTTTCTCCCACTGTCATAAAGATAAAATGAGAAAGAGTGAAAATTGTATTTCTATTCATGAAATGGCTGCAAATTTTATGGATGTCTAAGATATGCAGACATAACACTGCTCTTTTATAGAAGAATGAATGATGGATGAATACTACCCCTTCCTTAGTAATAAATCATTAGTGAGGTGGTCAGCTTAAAAAGTYCCTGAATGACTCAAACTTGATCTCATATTAAAATCAAACCAGGATAAATCAGTGGGCCCCTCAATGAGGAAACACCAAGAAAGGAGAATTAGGGTAAAGCTTTCTTGTTCCCTAGGATTTTTCTCAAAGCTTGTTTGACATCTTTGTTTCTTAGAGAGTAGATCAGAGGGTTTAACATGGGTGTCACCAGTATGTAAAATACTGAGGCCACTTTGCGGAGTTCAGGATTGCTGGGAGGTACAAGATACACAAACGAGACAGTCCCATAAAGCACACTCACTACCCCAAGGTGAGAGCTGCAGGTGGAGAAGGCTTTCTTTCTCCCTTCAGTGGAGGGGATCTTCAAGACTGTGGACACAATGTACATGTAAGAGACTACAATGACAACTATTGTGGGCAAAATAATGAAGATAGCCAAACTCAGAGATACCATCTTATTGACAAAGAGATTAGAGCAGGAGATCTTCTCAAGTTGGTAAGAATCACAGTAGAAGTGATCAATGACTCGGTACGCACAAAAAGACACTGAGAATGTCACACTGACTTGAATGGTAGAACTGACCCAGCCACAGAAATAGGAACCAGCCATCAGCTGGCTGCAGAGGCGTCTTGACATGTAGACACTATAAAGAAGAGGATTGCAGATGGCA